TGTTAGGGTGAGAGTGATAGTGATAATGAAAGAGAAATGTCGGGGATGCGAATTGGCAGAAAAAAAAACAATATTGAATGCAGTAGAGACGAGCAACTACAAAAAGTCGAATAGAAAGCAACAAACAGTCGAGGATCTGCGTGTCTCGCTCGGCCGAAAAGCGGCGGACGAATACAGTTTAGTCGTGGCAGGTATTATAGTGGGGTCGACTGTAAAAGTGAAGAGAGAGGAACATTATTAACCGGCTGTCGATGTTCATATTTATCTCTCTCTCTCTCTTTCCTTTTTCTCTCCCCCTTTCTCTCTTTATCTCCTCCTTTTTCTCTCCTGCTCTATCTCCCTCTCTCTCTCCCTCTCTCTCCCTCTCTCTCTCCCTCTCTCTCTCTCTTCCCTTCTTTCTTTCTTTCTTTCTTTCTTTCTTCTCCTCCTCTCGGTCTTTCCTCTCTGTCTCACCCTCTCTTCCTCTTTCTCCCTTCCCCTCTCTCTCTCTCTCTCCTGCTCTTTCCATCTCTCACCCTCTCCCACTCTTTCTTTCTTCTCCCTCTCTTTCTCACTCCTCTTTCCCTCTCTCTCTTCCCCTCTCTATCTTCTCCTCTCTCGGTCTTCCCCTTTGTCTCTCTCACCCATTCTCTTCCTCTCTCTCCCTCTCTCATCCCAATACTTTCGTCTCCTCTCTCTCCCTCTTCCCCCTCTCTTGTCCTCTTTTACCCCCCCCCCCTTATCACGTTCTCATTTTGGTGATATTAATTAAATATTGCTTCGTCTGACGAGCAGACCTAAAGCCTGTTTATGGTAGTTGCTGTTCTTAAGTAGTTATTCATCAAAGCTTTGGCCAGTTTATACGATGCTTAACTTGACCGCCCATCGGCTGGCTTTCTCTTCTCATATCTATCTACGTCAGTCTATTCATTTCCTTCTCTCTTTTCATCTTTTTGCAAGGCAATACAGCCACTAAGACGCAAGTGACTTACTGAGTGTGAGAGAATGCGAAAAAATGAAAACACTATTAAAACAGAGAGAACAATAAAAGAACAGGAATTAAGAGTATAACCATCAACATTGGATCTATCTATCTATCTATCTATCTATCTATCTATCTCATCTATCTATCTATCTATCTATCAGTCTATCTTCATCTATCTATCTATCTATCTATCTATCTGTTCTATCTATCTATCTATCTATCTATCTATCTATCTATCTATCTATCTAAGTCTATTCAATCTATATTCATTCATCGCTAGTTTGCCCTGTTCAATATCTCACTGTCTCTGTCTTTCTCTGTCTTTCTCTCTCTCTCTCTCTCTCTCTCTCTCTCTCTTTAAATCTGTCCATGTCTATCTCAGTCTTAATATCTTTCTTTCTTTTTATGTTTATTTATATCTATGTATCTCGCTAGTTAGCTCTGTTGAATCTCTCCCCCTCTCTAAACGTGTTCATGTGTTAATATCTATCTATCTATCTATCTATCTATCTATCTATCTATCTATCTATCTATCTATCTATCTATCTGTCTGTCTGTATTAGTATTTTTCGTTCTTTCTTTAATTCTTTCTTTCTTTCTTTTATTCTATCAGTCTATCTATCTATCTATCTATATTAATATTTTTTCTTCCTTTTATTCTTTCTAAGTTTATTCATATCTATGTATCTCGCTAGTTAGCTCTGTTGAATCTCTCCCTCTCTCCCTCTCTCTCTCTCTCTCTCTCTGTCTAAATCTGTTCATATGTATCTCAGTATGTTAAATCTATCTATCTATCTATCTATCTATCTATCTATCTATCTATCTATCTATCTATCCAAGTATATTCATCTCGCTAGTTAACCATGTTAGGCTTTCTTTCTTTCTTTCTTTCTTTCTTTCTTTCTTTCTTTCTTTCTTTCTTTCTTTCTTTCTTTCTATCACCAACCGAACAATATCTGGACAACGAGTGGTCCAAGCGAAAATTTTTTGTCTATCTCTGACTTTCAAAAACTGGTTTATTTATTTTCGGTCTATATCTTTGTGCGCTGGGTTGGAGCTACTAAAAAGGGAAGGAGGGTATGTTAATGGCTGATAACTCTCTAATAACTTCAGTTGTTGTTTATTCATAGTCAGTCTACTAATAACAGCAGATACCAACGAGGTTTTCTTTCACCCCATATTCACCCCTTTAACAAAATTTCATGAAGAAAGACAACAGTGAGAGCAATCGTCAAATTTGTACACATTGCTCAAGGGTACCTCACTATGGTACAATAGTTAGCAGGCTAATCGGATAGGTTATACTAATTACTAACGTAGTGAAGTATTACTAATACAGTGAGGTCGGTATTTATTGAATGATGTACACACGGAGCCGTGTGCCGTAGTAAGAAGCAACGTGCCTTATACCTTTTAGGTCGAACCGTAGACGTCTCTCCCGATGCAGACAGGGAAAGCTGATAGTCGAAATGTCATCCCTTCGTAATCAGCTTCAAGGTACTTAGTTGTATTTCCTTCTCTTAGACTGGTTGCCATTCAAGGCTAGAGCCCACTCTGCATTTTTATTTCATCTATAGGTGGGAAAGGGGAGAAAAGACGAATTTAAAAATTTACCAAATGTGAACCCAGGAACTCATTTCCATTCAATTTTCCAAACTTAAATGAATAAAGAGGAAATAGAAAAATCAGGCGTGGCTGACCATATGTAGGGGGAAAAGGGAGATGCCACCCCCCGTGGGATGAGGTTGAAATAACAGACAACATCCCTAGAAAATACGAAAATTTAAGGAATCAGCACATATGTTAGACCACAAAAATCTCCTAAGCCGACCAAGTATAGAAATGAATATAATATGGGAACCAGTAATACAGAGTTCTATAGACCCCCCAAAAAAAAACCCCAATAATAACAAATTGTAATATGAGCTCTGGTAAAAAAAATAGTTACTGAGATATTAAGTTTATAAGTCTTAATTCAAACACTGATATCCCCTGTGGATAAAAACGTCGGTGACTTGACCTAAAGAGTTGTGAGTTCAATCTCTGACCACATCAGAGGTGAACAAAAAACTTGGAGAGTTGAGTTACTAAAGGGAAATAACTGAAACTGAGATATCCAGAACGTGGAATTATAACAATCTACTCCGGTGGACGAAATAAATGGTTCGGTTCGAATTTCCAATCAGCTGAAGATTGCCGACATATGTAAAATAAGAGCTCAGTCTTCGCCATTCTTATCTAAAGTTTGACGGATTCTTTCCGTAATAAGTGTTAACACAGCAGCAATTTACCTAGAAAATCGAAAGCCATATTGCTTGTCTGAAAGAAGATTCTGCGAGGTAAGATGCTTAATCAATTCAGACTTGATTAGCGCCTCTAGTACATTGTCAAGCGGGATAGAATTACTAGATAAGATTACGAGGAAAATCCTGTTGATGCCAATAAAAATATGAAATAAGGTAAATAAAAGAAAATTACAGATAAAAAAAACTTTCTTATATTGCAGGATTTGGACGCTGTATAGAAATTAAAGTGTTTGTCTTTGTTGTTTTAAACGCAATCTCAACAGCAGATATATTCTTTAGCCTTCCTCTGTTGTATAAACAATTTCTTTGATTGCACTTCTTATCCGTGGAAATCTTTTCCCGCTTCTTTCTTTCTAGTCAAGTTTGATCTTCAAAAAAATGTAAACGCAGTGTCAATCGCTATCGTCTGTTTTTCTTTTTAATTTCTGTTCTTTTATTTCCCACGATCCTTAATTATTTTTATATTCTTTCACACTCAGTAACTTCCTGCGTCTTAGTGGCTTTGTAGCCTTGTTTGGGATGAAATAATTAAAAGGAAAGTGACGAAATGAAGAATTTTGGTTAATCCATAGATATTTTTCGATCTGTTATGTTCAGCACTTTTTAAAATTAGAATGTCATTACGGATGTTTTCTTCGGCCTTCCTCGGAAGTGTGTTGCATCTTTAGATGTCGCTTTTTTCTTCTTTATCATTCTTCAAGTGGTCTAACATTTTCCTGTAAATTGGAATTTCAGAAACACATAATTCACCGAGGATTCGGACCTTTAATTCTATCTACGTTGCATGTAGGCACTGATTTTGAAACAAGAAAGCTTATGAAAATTTAGATCAACCATTACATGGAATATTGCTGTCATATATGGTTTGGTGCTCTCGCTGTACGTCTCGAAGTCCTTGACAAAGTCTAGAGACGAATATGCAAAATGATAGGTCCTGATCTGGCATCTAGTCTACAACCGCTATCCTACAGACATACTGTGGCCTCTCTCTGTCTCTTCTACAAATATTTTCATGGCAACTATTCCGACAAGATACTTTCGCTGGTTCCTGGCTACATGAATTTAAACGAGCTACCAAGTTGGCATCTCGGTCCCACCCTCTCACTGTCAAAACGGTTAAATGTAACTGTCTCTTCTTCTCAAAGAGCTCGCTTCTCTCGCACCTCCCATCTGTGAAACTCATTTCCCCTTACTTGCTTCCCCGATGACTATTATCTTCAAATATTCAAGTGTAATGTCATCTGACACCCTGAGCTTTTCCTCCGTCCTTTTCTGTATCATTTCCTCAAACACGCCTCTTTACTCTTGTTCTCAATCCTCTGTAACCCCCTGCGTGCTAGTGGCACTTCCGCCTGACTTGGGGTAATTTCTTTAAAAAATATAATATTAATATCACAGTATACTCACGGTTTTTCAGTAGTTTAGCCCAGTGATTCTAGAGTGCCGTGCGATCCTGTTAAGTGTGCCGCGACATATTGTCACGGTATATATATTGTTATTGATGCATTTAAGATTTCAATACAAAGGGAATATCTCACATTATCTAAGAAAGCTCTCTCAATTTTATTGCAATTATTTACTTCTTATTTATCTGACTTAGGCTTCTCAACCCTAAATAACATCAAAAATAAGAAGCGAGAAAGGCTACGCTCAACTGAAGAAGAAATGGAGGTCTGTTTATCACACATTCGTCCAAACATCGAAGAAATCGCAAAATACATCAGACACGTGTTTCACACTAAATAAGCTGCACAAATAGTTGAATAGAAATATTGAAATTAAGTAAATTCATATTTGTGTGTGTTTTTTTTTAAAATCTATGTTTTATTTTATAACATATAAATGTATACTCTTTAGAAATTTTGCTAAGTGTACCGTGATATTTTCATTTGCTCCTCGGTGTGACGTTGCTTAAAAAGGTTCAGAAACTCTGGATTAGACATTGGCGCAACTTACATACGATGGAACGAATAAAGTGACCTATATATATTGAATTTAAAGATTTTATTAATTAGATACGCACTAGGTGCCTTGCTGTTTTAACTTTATGCAAGGCAAAGCCGATATTACTGTGATTACATATATGCTCATTTAAGCAAGAAAAAAGGGTTCTTTTTTCCTACGTTATTTTTTTACACGATAAACAAAAAAATTCGAGGGGGTTTCATATAATCTTCATAAAGTATTTCCCCCTCTCTCTTTCTCTCTCTCTCTCTCTCTCGATGAATGTACTTATTGAAACCAACCAACTTTATATAAGGCCGTATTCACTGAGCATTTAGTGAGGAAGGCACTTATTAGCATTGCCATTCAGAATTACAGCTCTAAACATTGTTTCATGTCAGGTACTCTTTACTGTCGCACACATGTTAGGTCTGTCCAGAAAGTATCTCCACATTTAATACTAACAAAATAGACTAATTACGGCACTGACGCTTTAGTCTACGTTAAAGTACTACTCTTGAAACCATACACACTAACGTTTATCTTGCTTCTTGAAACAGTCTATAAATTTAACCATCAGCTCTCTCATTGCGTTATCCTTAATTCCGTCCATGTTGATCCCACGGGTATTTTAGAACTGGGGAAAAAAACAGATGTCGTAGGGATACAGAAATGAACCTTGGGGTGGGGCGGGCTGCAAAACTGAGAACTGCACTCCCCGCAAAAAAAAAAACCCAAAACAAACAAACCAAAAAGACCTGCTGAAGACATCGCTGATCTACTTATATGGTCAATTCAGAAGTTCATCCATTATTGTTTATCAAGTCAATTGCTCTACGGTATGGTGTCTTTTCATGTATTCTCAGTAAGGTACCCTCTAAGAGGTTGACAAATTCACGAGATATTCAAAACAGAGATTTGAAGCAACAGAAATGTGGTTCTACAGAAGGATACTGAGAACTCCATGGACCGAACATGTGAGCAACGACGAAGTTTTTGAGAAAATGGGAACAAAAAGGAAACACACTTAACATCAAAAAGAGACAGTCGAATTTTCTAGGGCACATAATGAGGAAAGCGGGCTTGTAAAATTTGATACTCACAGGACAGGCAAGAGGGACAGAGCTTGTGTAACTAGATGGCAGAACAAGGAATAAGATATATAATAAAAATGACAAAAATGCTAAGAGCTACGAAGGAAAATATGGAGGGCCATGATCGCCAACTTCCTGAAGGTACACGGTACATAGCAGAAGAAGATAATTTCTGGACATTGCTCGTCTAAACACATGCCGTAGATTGAGAGTTGTAATAATATTCTGCGTGTGAGTACTCCGTACTTGTGATCTTCTACCAGCCTGAGCTAGACACGGAGATAAATTACGTTAGCACAATGAGTACGGGTGCCATTACACACTCCGATGTTGTCAACTTGTACCAGAGTAGGGCTAGGTCAGAAAATTACCCTACAGACCTTTGTCTGATCACCTGTCGTTAGCAAGATGTCCTTTGGATTATTGCTTCTTTATAAGTCTGCTTCTCAATGAGAGTTCAAAATTTTCGCTAAATTAAACAGAAACACGTAAATAACAAGACACACAGTATCTCTACCATAATTTCTGACCCCTGACTATACCTTTTTCTTGATTTTCAATACATCCCTAAAGCAAAATTATTAGCAATGCATTTAAAGTCTACATTATTTGGTCAGCAATGTTTGTTTTAATTCCTGACAATGCCATTCTTGGTTTTTAATGCATTTCTCTAGTAAAGTAATTAGCAATATATTTACATTCTTAATATATTCGTCTGATTCTTTCAGCAATAATAGCCTTAATACCAAACACCGGATGTTTCGATTACCGAAGTCAAGCATCGTCGTGCTCGGTCAGTACTTAGTTGGGGGACCGCTTGGAAACACTAGGTACTGTAAGCAGCCTCCTACAAGCAGAAATATTTTGCGGCTTTAAATAACCCTTAAAGGGTTGATAAGTTGTAAAACTCAAATCAAACCAATCCATTGTCTTAGTTCCTGAGAACTGACAATTCTATTCTTCCTAATTTTCAAATTACTTCTATAGTAAATTCATTATGAATACACTTGCATTATATATAGATGGCCTTTATTGTCAGTAACGATTGCTTTCTATTTCTGCACATTTTTCGTTGAGGCAGTTCTTTTTAGCTTACTGGCATTTGTTCCTAACGAAACAGACAGTTGAAATGTCTAGGACACAATAGGAGGAAAGAGGTCTTGGAAAATGTGATGCTCACAGGACAGATTGAAGTTAAGAGAGACAGGAAAACAATGAATAAATTATCTGGTGAGTCTGAGGAAATTGTTGGCAGAGCAGGATTTGGGAGAGATGACAAAAAGACAAAATATATAAGATCTACAAAGAACAGGAAATTATGGAGTGCAATGATTACCAACGTCCTGAATGAACACGGCAAATACCCGAAGAAGAAAGAATTTTTTTAATTCTTGATCTCTGACAATCATTTCTTTTTCTTTCAGTGGACAATGGATACAGTAAATATAACATTCTTTTAAAATAATTGTGTGTAAATTTCCTTCGGTGTTCAATCACTCATTTTTGGTCTAAAATATTTTATTTGTTGATAAACGTAACAAAAAGTACAGAAGAATAATGGTAAATGCTCTAGTAAGGAGAACAATAAAAAAGATATTGCTGAAACTTCTTTATGTACCGTTTCTCTTCAGGACGTAGGCGATTATGGCTTTCCACAGCTTCCTTTCTTGTAGTTCTTAATAAACGTTGTCTTTCTATTACTTCTCCTAATCCCTGTCCCGCTATCCATTTACTCATACTCATTAGGTATATTATACTCTCTATCTGTCTCGTGAGTATCAGATTTTCTAAGCCGTCCTTCCTCATTATATGCCCCAAAACATCAACTATTAGTTTCCTTTTTGTTTCCATTTCCTCCAAAACTTCGTCGTTAATAACATGTTCTGTCCACAGTATCCTCAGTGTCCTTTGGTCACAATTCCGTTGCTGCAAGTCTTCCTCTTTCTCTTTGAGGGGATCGCCCAGAATCACTACCATACAGGGTGACAGATATCACGTAGCAGTTTAGTACTCTTTTCCTTGTTTCTAACGATATTTTCTTATTTCTTAATACTTTGTTTAGCTTTTGGAAGGCTATCCCAATACGCCTTCGGAATTCAATGTCGCACTTTCCGTCCTCTGTTAAAACACTTCCCAGATATTTCAGTTTCTGCACTTATTTGATTTTGGTAACTCCAATTTGCAATTCGCCTCTTTTACTAACACCCATGCATCCTGTCTTCTTGCATTTGATGTTTTGTTCTTTCTTCTTTCTTTCCTTCACTGAGTCGGTCGGAGTTTTTGTAGTTTTCTTGTTGCGTCTGCTATCAAATTCAAATAATAGTGGGCTCTAAAACACAAACTTGATTATTGTTTCGTTTTTATTTTATTTTAATAAACTCTGTTTAAGGGCCTATCAAATCATTATGGGTCATTTAATGATAAAATTTAATTTTCTTGGGCGCTTTGAAGTAATAAAAATATATGTTATTTTGCTTTCGCAATCGAACATATGGTAGATGATACTCAGCTTTTGGATATATACATATTTTTGTGGACATAATTACAAGAGGCAGTGATATGTTTGGTTTATGTTGTAGTTTTGTTGAACTTTTATTGTGGAATAGATTTTGATTTCTTTAAGAAATTCTAGGATATTATATTGATCAATGTCATGAAAGAGGTTTTTTTTTTCATGTTGGTTATTCAGTTGATCTTGTTTAGCGATATATCAAAATTTTTGGGTTATTTAATACCCAATTCTAAATGTCAATTTTATGGCAAGAACTCAATATATTTTGAACTCAACTGCATGCCTTCGACTACAGATCAAAAATATTGTTGGTCATTTTGCTATAAATATGCATTTTTGTTAATTTTATTATAAAAAATGTATTTTTATACTTTCATAGTGTTTTGTTTTGTTTGGGGGTTCACTGTTTGCCCATATATATATATATGCGGCATATCTTCATTCAAGATCAGCTCATGAACTAATGCAAATCTTAAAGACATAAAAATTAATTATTGAAACCATAGCCTCACTTGATGTTCAAAGTTTATTTAATAATGTACCAATTAGAGAAACGATTGATATAATTATAAAGAATATTTACACCAATCCATATCTGCCTCCACTAAAACTTAAACCTAACATATTACAGAAACTACTTTTGACTAGTACCACTGAAGTACCTTACTATGAACATCAAAATATCTCCGTCCAACGCGATGTCGTTTCCATAGATTCAGTTCTGGGACCAACATTTAATAACCTGTACGTGGCTAACCTTAAAAATAAGATGTTTAATACCGCTAAAAAAAAACCTCATCTACCTAAGATATGTAGATGATATTCTCATCTTAGTTAAAAACATAGATGAATTACACAGGAAGTACAAAATACTTAAAAAAAAACCCGTTCTTAAATTCATATGAGAACTTAACAATAACAATAAAATTCCTTTTCTTGATATATTAATAGACACGAATAATAATACATTTACTTCCTACCCATATATAAATTTATCTAGCATAAACACGTGCACTCTCAACTATAAATGTGAATGTACTGACTAGTACAAAACGGCTATTATACAAAATTTAATAAACCGTGCAAAAGTTAAATCTTCCACGAAAAAAAAAAAATTCTACACTGAATTGAAAAACATTAAACTCTCATTAAGAATGACTTATCTAATTACATTGATGATGGACAAATTAGACGAGCTATTAGAAATATTAGCATACCCACCCCCAAAAGACAGTACTTGATCAAATAACCCAACAACATACCAACCTACTATAACGCAATAAAATACACCCTAACTGCAAACAAGATGAAAAAATCATAAAAAAAATCTAATATGTCCCCCACTGATCCCAGTAAAAAATAAAAATTAATAATATACAAATACTAAATTTGATACAGCCAACTTAATCATAAACAATAACTTTTCTCTGTCAGCAAGTGTTTTGCAAAAGACCAACACATATGGATATAAATTTGAATGTTCTTTGGGAGATTGCATCTGTGACAAAAACGTGAATATATATGTTGGTTCCATGACAACAACATTATCAAAGAGACTTACATTACGCTCCCAAGTAGGAATGCTCTCATTGCTTTGTTAAACTGTTTTATTTCCTAGTGGTACGAACAGAAAAAAATACTGCAGGGATTCAGAGAGAAGGTAGTAAAGGAAAGAGGGAAGAAAGGATTAACTATCAATTGTAAAAAGACTGAATATATTTTCGTTAGCAAGAAGGAGAGCCCAAGTCGCAAGCTACAAATTGGAGATTTCGAAATCAAGCAAATAATTTAACTAACTGGCGACTGTTATACTGCTTTTGAAATTAAAATAATCGTTCACTCGGCAGTAGTTTAACGTCACCCGAGGATACACATTTGTAGTGTTGAAACATAATTGTAATTGTGTAGCGATTTTTAACATGTTTCTGTTTTAATATCCTAAAATAAATAATATTTAGCTCTACTCTGTATTGAGCCCTCTTTTAAATTAAATATTACGGACAGTGGAATTATACTCCATTTGTTCTCATTTTTGTATATATATATATATATATATATATATATATATATATATATATATAGAGAGAGAGAGAGAGAGAGAGAGAGAGAGAGAGAGAGAGAGAGCGATAAGCCTTTGTTTGGCAGTTGCTATGTTTCCGTCGACGACGTTGTTGCATCTGCATCAGTAGCTTCAACAGAAAAGCGAACAGATGCGCCAAGAGTTTTATAAGTTCAGCGTTCTGTTGATTCCCCCTGCAAGTGACTTGCTGGGTGGGTAAACAAACGAGCAGACACCCCTGACGAAAATAAACACGCTAATAGTCACATGCGTCCAGTACAACACTCCCGCCCATACAAACACGTCTCTTTCTCCCCTCCTCTCTCTCTCTCCCTCTCTCTCTCTCTCTCTCTATATATATATATATATATATATATATATATATATATATATATATATATATATATGTGTGTGTTAGTAAGGTGGAGGGCGAAATCAGCTGTATCTTTCTGGTGCTTCTCTTTCTTCTCTAACCAAATATTATGCTCGGGTCGGAATGATGGCGCTCCTGATATACATCAGTCTATGAATTTTGCAAGTAATAAATCCTCTTTTACAAGATTCCATTGCACTTGCCTCCGACGGCTGCAGCTGAGGTCAACATAAGACCTTCCCTCGTGCAATCATTTAATAATGGCATCTTCTTGTTTTCGTTTTCCTCAATACTTCTTTTTTTCAATTTCCACCTTTAGCCAATCAGACATCTTCTTCTTCTTTGTTAAATTCTTGACAGAAAGCTGTGGAGAGCAATGATCATTTACGCCCTGAAGACACAGAGAGAAAAGGTCTGCAAGAAGAGGAGAGAGAGAAAGAGTATTATCTCTTCTCTTTTCTCTTCCTTGGTTTTCTTTTTCTTTTTGTTCCTTTTTTTGTTTTTACTCTTTTTCGTCTTCTACGACTACTACTAATACTTTCAAATCGATTTGTCTCTCCTCTTTCAGCTTACTCCTCCTCCTCCTAATCTTCTTCTTCTTCTTCTTCTTCTTCCCGTTCTTCTCTGTCTTCCTTCAACTTCTCTCTTTAATTCTTCTGTTTTCTTCTCCCTTCCCCTCTTCCTCCTCTTATTCTTATTCTTCTTCGCCATAATCCTGCTGTATTTTTTCTTCTTCTCTCTCTTCCAGCTGTATTTTTCTTCTCTCTCCTCTTGCTGTACTTCTTCTTCTTCTTCTTCTTCTTCTTCTTCTTCTTCTTCTTCTTCGCGCCAATATTTATTTTTCCTTTACGCCAATTATACCACCCACCCAATTCAATAACATAATTTTGTAACAA